CTGTTCGTTTACGTGTACGCTAACGTGTGTCACCACTGAAAACATGCTGAAAATGATCGAAAGTAACCAGCCCTTCTATACAAATGTTAACTTGCGAAATTCACCTTTGTTCTTTGTGGCCTCAGATGCCAAAAGCTCAAATTGTCCGTTTTTGCACTAGTAAGATTTAAAGCAATAAAATGTCAGCGTAAAATATAAAAACTAAAGCGAAACCTGTTTTAATTAATAAAAGGAACATTTAAAACTTGTCTTTAGGTGGTCTTAGCACCGTACATTTACTTTAGAACGTCGAAAAAGATCTTGCATAACAGAACCAAAACACTTCGAAACCAGTTTCAAAAGTACGTAAAACTGTCAAATCAAAATCTCTCTGATTTATATTAAATGGATAGATTAAGTAATCTTGCGTTAATAGTTTATTCAGTTAAAAATAAATAGAATTGAGGATTAATACAGGTGTATTCACAATGAAGGAAATACTCCTAGAGTGGGTTATCGTTGTCCAGCCATCTGGTGCCCAGAGCAGCCTAATTAAATAAAAGAAAAGGGTAGACGTTGAAGGGTGCCCAAAATGAACACTTACCTAAACATGGTAATGGCTCACCTCAATAGCCGACGTATGCAAACGATCTATATAAATTAAAGACCGTGTTTAAATTTGCTTGAGGGACGTTCCTAGAGGGACGTTCAACCCCCTCGGCTTAGAGGCCGGAATAGAGACAACATGCTGTTTTCTTAGAGAGACATACCTTTAGCCGCTGCGGCTTAGATGTCGGGATAGACAACATGTAGACTTAGAAAGAATAGCGTAACTCTTCCAGGAAACTTATATTTAGCTTATATGTAATGTTATAGCTGTGTGTGTGTAGTTTCTTGTATACAACTTTTGTATTATGGATGTTATAAAGTTATATAAACATAGTTATAACAACACAGTGTTCCAGAGTTAATTGATCAATGAGTAAAAATGTACACAACGTGAAAGTTCTGATCGGATAGGGTCACTGTCCAGTTTGAGGAAATTACTGACACACGTCAACATTACATTGTTTGTTCTTTTTGATGGTCGCGACTCGCGACCAGGATACTGTCACATATTGTCCATTTGTTGGTTGTTTTATTTTTTTTAATCTATTGTCCTCTTCTGAACATTCGTTTAAATGTTGCTCTTAGTTCTGGTAGCCGCCATGAATAAATTAATGGATTGATGATGGAATTGATTATAGTTAAACTGAAAGTCCCATTTAAAGCATGACCAGTCGCCATCTTAGTTACAGCAAGAGGATGGTAGCTTAAATAAAAACAGAACAACGAAAATGGTAAATAGCAAACTATCGTTGGTATAACAACGGATGCAGTTGTAACTGTGGCTTTAAAGGTCATTCTCCATCCAGCGTCCATATTCGATTCCCCAACCACTGACGGTAAAATTGCCTTTATATGTTTCCTTGCAAGGCAGAAAACAACTAAATTCCCCAGACATGTCAGAGACATCATGATCACGTGATATATACCTATTATTTCATTGGTCTTTGCTGTGGCTAATTGTAGCCAAGAACATCGAGTTAGGTGACGATTACATGTATTCATAACCAAAAATGATACCATTATACCGGAAGTCCAACATAGTACAAAATATATGCCAAGATTGCGGTTGGTTACAAAGGCACCATATCGAAGTGGTATATACAGTGCAACGATTCTCTCTAGCGTCATGGTACATATGGTATGTAACGTTAGGTTCGTGATAGCAGCTATGACGCTGTATCGGATATAACACTCCAAATAAGCACCACGTATTACCAAATTCACTGTGACGGTATGATATATAAACAATAGCCCAAATAGAGCATCAGTAAACGATAAATTTAATAATGACATCTTCAACCCTCTCTTCACATTATTGGTTTTTAAAAGTGCAATACCCGTCGTTATATTTTCAATCATCACCAGCAATCCTACAAATCCTTGAATAACGATGACTAGTAACGACGTCTCGCTTCCTGTCGGACAAAGAACACAGGGGGCGCTGGATTCCTCGGTAGATAGTAGAGGAGTAAGCTCCCCTAAAGTTGTAGTTTCTAGTTGATCGGCCATTATCGGTAAGCTGCTAATAGTAAGTGCAGAGGGATCGTACCATACATAAACAGATACACACGAAAAACTATGAATGGTTCCACTACTGATGTCTTCCGTCTTGCTCCAGCCACAGTATAGTGGACCGTCCTAAGACCTTCTCTGAGCAAGTTTTGTAGTTATTTGACTACAAGAAAGTTACTGGGCTATAACTCCCTTAAAATTCAATTACACTAACCCCAAACTGTACTGTACACAGCTTAACATATAATAAACCAATTGCCAATGACATAAAGGTGAAACCTTACCGTATAATTATATGATATGATTAAACCCAACTGCTATGCGAAATTTCTGTTCATTTTAAAATGGCCACCGAACCAGAATCACGTGGTGTCATGATCACTCGACAATATAGAAAAACTGTTTGGTAAGATAAGATTATGATTTCAATGTTCCACTCTTTCACTATTTGTAACATATTTACTTATTTCCATGCAAACTGTGATGATATGTGTTGAACATTTTGCAATTGAACCTAATTTTACTTGTTCAAAGCCTCGAATAGTGTATCAATTGCAGCCGTAGATAAGAATTATCACGGCTACAAATTGCAGCTAACGACAAACCTGCGTACGTGACACAATACACAGACACCACAAACGGTGATACAATATTTTGGTGTATATGATGAATTGTCGCTTGACTCTTAATGAAAACAAGTGTGTTGAAATGATGTGGCACTTAACTCTTATAGATTGGTGAGAATCCAGACATAGTAGATTTAAATACATAATATAATCACTATCGACCATAGAAAATTTTCCTTTGTGTCTCCAAAAACAGAATTGAACGGACGGGTTATTTTATGTCCATCCTCGTCATGAAGTCGTAATTTTTCCAATAGTGTGGGTTGGTTATCCATTAATCTAAACAAATGTTTAATATTTGCTGGCCAGTGGATATATTACTAAATACAATGATTTAAAAACAGACCCACCGTCCATTACTTAGTAACAATGGCAACAAATTTATTTTCGATTATCTTAAAATTGGATAGAAATGAAATGGGGGAAATTGTGCGCACAATGCCGTAACTAACTCAGAGGAACGAGGTGGGCGGGAAGTGTTCTCAGGGGTGCTGTAAAATTGACGGACAATTTATATATATTGTTTTTATGGTCGACAATTTTTTCACAGGGGGGGGGGGGGCGAAACTTTTTGCAGGGGGTCTTTGTTCCCCCCCCCCTCCCAGTTACGGGCATAATTCCAGGTGTTCGTTTACGTGTACGACAACGTGTACACAGGACCTCGATTTTTCGGCCCACACGACCGACTGGACGCTGTTGTTGCCAGGCCCTCCGTCCTGCATCACTGACAATGGAGAACCCACATCGAAAAATCCTAGATTGAACAGATTCATTCGTATTATTGGTTACAACTGTGTTTTCAATTATCCCATAAATAATTGAGACCTTAATCGAAGATTCATTGTGTAATATCATGGACCTTATAATACATGTATTATAAGGTCCATGGTAATAAACATGAAGACACCATATGAATAAAACAGCATCACCACACTCGCATGTGACTTTTGTTTGGTGAAATCGCCCATGGACAATACAAAGACCATCAACAATCAACAATACCATAGGACAACGAAGCAAGTTATTTATTAGATACATAGTTTTGTTTGGGCCCTTGCATCGGACCCAGGGGGGTTGGATGGCTGAATGGTTAGCGTGCGCGCGCTGTATCATAAAGTCTGTCATTGAGTCGACTGGTCTGGTTTCAAATCCCCGGTTGTACGTGACAAGGAGTAGGGTCGCCTGTCCAACCTCGGGGGTTTTCTCCGGGTCCTCCGGTTTCCTCCCACTGCTAAAGACCCCTACGCGCAAGCGAATTATTGAAAGAAAATTAAACCATATGTTTGTCCCGAAATGGCCTAGTTTGTGTCGAGTGGACGTTAAACCCCATTTCTCTCTATCTCTGCATCGGACCCCGGTTGACACCCTCTCTCCTCATTTACTCAACTGAAAGTTCTGGTCGCAGTTAGGCCTTTTTGCATGTTTTTGTGCCAGACATATAACTAGCTAATTCTGTGTGGCAGGTTATTACAACTCTCTAGTCTAGCCCTAAGCAACTACCTGAAGCTCATTGGTCCACTTTTATAGAAATACGAACATCCCGGTGGAGGTATAGACAAACGTCTTGACTAGCGATAACCATTTGTCTGGATAAACACGTCTACAACATTGTGAACGGGGTGCTATTTTTCGTACGCGGAGTTGATCCGACACTTGTGTCTGACAAGGAACAGGTTCGCCCTCCTAGCCCCGTGGGGTTTCTCAGCGCCCTTCGGTTTCCCTCAACTACTAAAGACCCCTACGGCCAAGCGACTTATTGAAATAAAATTGAACAATATGTTACTCCTGAAATGACTAGTTTCGTAAATAGAGTTTGACATGCTGTCGCTGTGTTTTAAACAACATCTAGAAACCAAGATCCTCGTACCATTTAAACATACATTATGCAAGAGCTAAATCTGTCTATTGCAGGTCTATTAACAAAACAAGACCATAATCAACTGTCGATGGCATCGCTAGCCTACAATCTGTAGTGGATTATGACCCGATTTACTGCATAACTTTCCTTCACCATTTAATGATTAAGTGGATAATCGAGACTACGATTTTTGTCCTACCGACTTTAGTAATAATGATCGAGCCTAGGCGGAAATTTCAATCGCTTAAGTCTTGGTTCATAGAGGATCAATTTGAATGAAATTTCAGCAAATTGCCTTTACATTATCTAGTTTTTAACTATTATGGTGAGAACTGCCAACTCTTTATCAAATCTCCCATAAGGTATCTTTAAACAAAATAATAATAACCAAAAGACGTTAAAACAAATATGACAATATATTTTAATGATCAAGGGTGATGATTAAACATCTATTTACTACACGTAGTGCCGCCTGACTGTTCTGGATGTAATTTTCGAATAACCAGACTCTTCAAACCTGTGAAGTTCAAGAGTAATAGATGTTAAATACATTTATTGAAATGTTTTTCGTTTATCATTATTATTACCAAATAAAGATATTCTAAGATATTACACTGCTGTATTATTTACTGTGTGAAAGATGACTATAGCACACTAGAGATATGTTGTTTGATCACTATAGGCACATATTATGATATGTCATACCAGACTTGTGATAGCACCTTATAGGATAATATAGTAACCCAGACTCCTTTATCTCAATGGGTAGCTGTGTACGTACAGACCATTAGATTATTGGTGTGTAACAAACGTACATGTAGCACAAATACGGTATGGTTATAAGACTCTTCATGGAAAAGATGTAGCAGAGAGACGGGTGCTTGGTGCTTGGGGAGTGGACCTCCGGGTCTAACCCTCTGTTCTAGTTGTATATAATGTTGATATTTACAAGGCTGTCCGTCTTTTTAAACTGATAGTATTACAGTATGCATACTTTTATCAATTAGAACAGTTTCCAGCACTGTGATGCATGTCATGGTTTACATCAAAAATATGTTCACCTTAAATTATTTAGAATCTACCTTTCTGAAGACATTAAAACAGTTTTAAGCACTTCGATGAATATCATGGTTTACATCAAAAAGATGTTCACCTTACATGCTTTAGAATTTATACCTTTCTGAAGACATTAAAACAGTTTCAAGCACTTCAATGCATGTCATGGTTGACATCAAAAAGATGGTCACCTTAAATGCCTTAGAATCTATACCTTTCTGAAGACAAAACCATAACATTTTACCTGCTACTGCAGCTTGGAATCCAGCGTTATAATCTGTAGCTACTTCATTGTTAATGTAGTTCTGTCTTGAATCTTGGTAACTGCCATCAGAATCTGGGCCTCCAACTAAAGCTCCGTACAGCGTATGGACATTAGGCTCCTTAGTAGACATTATAAATGGCCCACAAGGTGCCGGTGGATTGGGGCATGACCTAGAACAGAATTTAAAATTGATTTTAAAGGGAAGAAAATGGTAGCCAATGAAATGAAATGGAGTTTGGTGTCCTACTTTTCTGCACCGACTGGGCTCATTAAGACGGTTTGTTAGTACGAATCGTTAGTAATCGGATACAAATGTTCTGTTGAAACTTGTTTCATCAATAAAACTTTAGATTAGAATTTCTTATAAACACACATGAAATGGAACGTGTTACTTTTCATCACCAATGAGAGAGAGAGAGAGAGAGAGAGAAATCGGGTTTAACGTCCACTCGACACAAACTAGGTCATTTCGGGACTAAAATAATAATAATTAGTTTGCGGGTAGGGGTCTTTAGCAGTGGGTGAAAACCGGAGGAACCGGAGAAAACCCACGAGGTTGGACAGCCAGTTGACTCAATGAGAGGCCTTATGATACAGCGCGCACGTGCTAACCATTAGGCCATCCAAACCCCCTCATCAGCAATGAAGACGGGGATATTGTCAAAGGCATACAATTAACGAATTGCCCATGACATGAACGCACTCTCGGTTTTCGTACCATCCGATGGATTAGACAATTTATCTTGCCAGGTCCACCCTTATCTCGATTTGAATATCATCCGATCTATTAGAAGCATTGGTTTGTCAGACCCATCCTTGTGCACAAATGACACGGGGAAACCAGAGTGGGCAACCTCCAGGAAGATTCCTGAATGGAACAAAGGACACTCTGGTTTGTGAGCCACACGAATAATATAACATAACAACTTCTGAACTTACGCTGCTCTGTGATGAGGAGAATGTGGGAAATTTTTGCCATAACCAATCAGAAAACTGAATCCAGTGTCTCCTAGGGCATAATGGATCTGACTCATGGCCCATTTTCTATACTCAACAGCGTTAAGTCCTTCTTCAGCAGCCAACAGTGCAACCAGGGCCATGTTAGCTGAAAACATTTAATAAACGTAAAGTTTGAATGACCTAGCAAACAATTAATCACATCTACAGGATCGCCTTAATACTAAACGGAAATCTGATTAAAATACAGATCTATATTTCGTTTCGTTTTTTTTTATACTTTCAATGGCCTACACTACATGAAGAGCTGACATGTTGTAGTTGGAGGTCGGGTCAGAGGTAATATGAACTGACGTAAGACATTTGATTAACCAATCAGCGTTGATGTTTCTAGTGGGTTATCCACAGTTCCGCACAACTAAAGCCAAAGACTCGCCGTAACAGATCGTTTCATTGGCTAATCCCTGACATCATCCATAACAACTCTTTCGGATCCTAGTGTAGTAAAGACAATTAAAACGAAATTTTGAACTTTAATAAACGAAACGAAATAGGATCTGTGTTTTAATCAGATTGAGTAAACGGCAGAAATTATAAACAAATAACCATGATAGACTAGACACAACGAAACCGTCCATGAATCCAAATTTATAATAATTTCCAGACGAAAACTTGAAACGCAACCTTGGCTAAAGCTAAAAGTTCTATTTAGATTTTAACGAATTTGTTTGCAACAACCCTATCGAATCACTCAAAAGTCTTTCTTTTACAATCTGGTATGTTGATAATAGAATGGAATCTTACATGCATATCTGAGTGATCCCCACTGAAGTCGCCAGGCTAGTCCTTTAGGGGTATATTTGATAGTTCCTCCAGGCATCCAGTATTTAAATGTTCCTTCAACGGCTTGCTTATAAATATCCTTCTTGGTAAATTTGTACAGGAGAACCTAAAACGAAAGACAAAAAGCCTGTCAGATAATACAGAACATAATGGCCTCTGGACATTGCTCTACTGCTCTATGAACAATGTACGTTAACTTCCATTCTGGGAACTAATATTTTGTTTGTTTTAAGTTTTGTTTATCTATCATTCTTTATTAGATTATACAATCGGTGGTATCTCAATCTTGGATCATTGGACACATCCTAAGTTGTAGAAAATATATCAGTTATTTTAATTGAAATCCTATCAATATTTGATACCTGGTTAGCAGCTTGAACATCATCCCAGGACATTCCCCATGCAGGTTCTGGTTGGAACCATTTTTCGGCTTCAGCTAAATATTTGGATTCGTTTGTTACTTTGTACATCCACAACGAAGACCAACACATTTCGTCTGTCATATTGGTTGATCTGCAAAGCATAGTGGTTTAAAATAGTTCAAATAATATTACTGTCATCAGCTACTAATATATGAAGCCGAACACAGCCGTTACCGCCTACAGAGGCTTTGATGATTTCATCAGAAGGCGAGGTTGTTGTTCACCGAGACACAGAAAGAAGTCAATCAATTAAATGATATATGTTTTAAACACATAAGAGTTAGTAAAAACTTTTACGAAGATAGAGAGAAATGGAGTTTAACGTCCACGCGACCGAAACTCCGTCATTTCGGGACTAACATATGGTTCAATTTGATTTCAATAATTCAATTGCGCGTAGGGGTTTATAGCGGTGGGCGGAAACTTGAGGACCCGGAGAAAAACCCACGAGGTTGGTCAGGCGGGAAATCGAAACCACACCCCCAGACTGAATGACAGACCTTATGATCTAAAGCGCACACGTTCAACCATTCCGAATGGTTTGGAGAAAACAGTAACATTTTAGCCTTTTTATCAAATTGCTTTCAACTCGTAAATTTATTAACAAATAAACAATTTGAAGTTTTCTGAAAAATGCTTAGATGAACATCTGCGATACAAAAAAAATATACGACACACCTCTAACTAAGATATAATCTGTACATAGGTTCAACTTCAAAAATCAGAATTGGACTTGCACTTGAGCTCGTAGCCATCCAAAAGAGTTAAAACTTGATTTCAAATTTTGAGAATATGCCAAATGTCTTACTTGTAATAACCTGCTGCAGCACTGACGCTATCTGTGTATCTACCCTTGTGAGTCATCGCAAAATCATAGAGTTCTTTACCATGGGTCAACAGCTTAGCAGCATAGGCGGGATCTGAAAATATATGTAAATGAAATGGGGTTTAAAGTCCTAATTTTCAGTACCATCAGTACTAATGAAGACGGATATACCCGATGCAGTGTGCTATGAATTCCTTTTAACTCGGGCAACGGCGCTACGGATTAGTCTTATATCGAATTCCAACTACCAAGGGCTCCATTATACTGCACCTGGATTGAGAACTGAATGGAGTAAAATTCGCCAAGTGGTCGATTCACACAATGGTTCTACTTTTGATTGAACTCATAAGTAACAGATAACCACGAATCCTTTGTAATTGAGCCGAAAGTAGCTTGAATTATGATAACATGGTGTCCGGTTCATTGTTTTTGGCAATTGTCTTTTTCAAACATCAAACGATTAAGATCACCGCATTAGACCCTTCCTGATATTCTCAAGAGTGAAATGTCTGACCGATTCTTACCCTTTTCTTTAAAAGCGTAGTAACCCGCAATAAAAGCAACACTTGTGGCACCAGCTACATCTGTTCCTGGATTACTTGCTGTTATCTTATAGGATGGTCTTGCCATGGGTAGATCTTCTGGGCGGCCCCAATAGCTGTGATCAGTGCTTGCATCACCTACCTATAGACGGAAGTAAACTACATTATGTTAAGATGGTATAACTGCAATTTGATTAAAATACAGATCTATATTTCGTTTTGTTTTTTTTTATACTTCCGATGGCCTACACTACATGAAGATCTGACCAGTTGTAGTGGAAGGTCGCGTCAGGTGTTTTACGAGCGACTTTTGACCTTATGACGTCAAACACTGACTAATCAATCAGTGGTGACGGTTCTAGTAGATTACCACCTCATGCCAAAAAATCGCCGTAACAGACCGTTTCATTGGCTAATCCCCTCGAATCAATCAGACCGCGGGTTATATAACAGCTCTTTCGGATTCCCGTGTAGTAAAGACAAGTAAAACTATAAAAAAAAAACGAAACGAAATAGGATCTGTGTTTTAATCAGTTTGGTATAATTGTAAAGCACGGAGAAATAATGGCTGTGATTGATAATAAATGCCTCAAGAACATATTTTGCGATCTTTTGTAATATAAATCAAATTAACTAATGTATCAGCAGTGGAGTATATGACCTCACCGAGCTATACGTGGTGAATGAGGCAAAGTATGCTTGCTTTCTAGGCCGCCCAGAACCATGTCTAATGGTGGTGACGTATGGCAACATACTACTTTCGATTTCTGGAATCCAGAACCAAATAATCGCTCCATATTACTATAAGTAGTAACGAGTTTTGTGCACGAGACAAGATATGCTGACTGTGTAGGAAAACCACTTCTCATTAGAAGAGTTCATATTTCGAACAAACGGATCTTGTACTGCTACAATGGGCCTGGGAACTTCATAATTTTTCTCATTACATGAGTAGATATTTGGCTGTGCCATAGTTTGAACCATGGATCCATACCTGCACGTAAAGTTCAGTTTTACCGGTGTGAGCTTTTAAGAAATAATCCAAGGGCCATTTGATAGAATCGTACATATGTTCAAGTTGTCCACTTTTCTGATAGGCATCTTTAAATTCCAGCAAACTCCAGGCTAGAATGGCAGTAGAGTAAGCCATGGGGAAACCAAATTTAACATGGTCTCCAGCTGAAAGATAAAGAAAATATAATACTTAATCTCACCTTCTCAGCCATCTTGGGCTGTTGGGTGGCCGAATGGTTAACGCGTGCGCGTTGGATCAGGAGTCAAATGGCGTGGCTTCGATTCCCCGCTTGTACGTGATTCCCCTCATGGATTTTCTCTGAACCATATCTCTCTCAGCCATCTTAATTCAGAGCGAGGTGTTGTATAACGTGAGTGGGTCTTTTGAAGTGTGCGTGCGCAGGCGCAGTGGTGCTGTTTTACGCAGATCGGCCAAATATTGTAAATGCTATAACAAACTATCGAATGACCTATCAAAATACGGTTTCATGAATGAGAAAGATTCCTAAGTTGTCCAATACATGCACCTTTAGGAGGAGGGGGGGGGGGAGAGGGTTGGAGGTGCTAAAAGCAAATCTGTAACAGTAACAGTCAATTGTATAATAATATACACTGTAGTACCACCAGGCCCGTAACTAGGGGTGAGGTGGGGTGTGGGGGTGTGAATCCCCCCCCTCCCCTGTGAAAAAATTGTCGACCATAAAAACAATAGATATACGTTGTCCGTCAATTTTACAGCGGCCCCTAAGAACACTTCCCACCCCCTCCCCTCGTTGCTCAGAGCTAGTTACGTCCCTAAGTACCATATACTATATTAATTACGAGAGTACACATATATATGTCCACGATTACCTACCATCATACCAGCCCCCAGTAAGATCAATACCAGCATCTGAGCCATCCTTTAAACCAGAGTCACCTCTCCATGGGATGCGGTTAGAAGCTGGTAATTTACCAGATCTCTGGGTTTCGTAGAAGAGTATGGATTTATACAGTACGTCATCATAATTATATTTGGTACAATCATCTAAAAGATAGAATTGGAACTAGATTTAGTAGGTGCAGAACTCACTATCTAAAGTCACCTCAACTTGAGGACATAACGAGCAGGACATCAGAGCCACGGGGCCTTATTCACCATCTTATATCGTCCCAAATTGCAGAGGCCAGGTGCTTTACCCACCATCTTATATCGCCCCAACCACAGTGCACACCAGAGCCCAGGGACTTTACACACCCTCCTATATCGTCACCAACAGCTGCAGAAGTTACCAGTCTTCAGAGGCTTTATACATCTTATACTGACATGAACAGAAGTACACAGAGAACTAAGCTATATCTTTGTAAACTCAACTTCCACCAAATCAATGTGCATGCCCACAACTTATTGAATGGATTTAGAAATTGAAAATACACAGGACACAACTATATGGAATATACGTACTGATTATCATTGGGTAACACGTCGAATGTGGTTCCATTTTTTGACCGAAGAAGTGTTTTTTCGGCACTTGAATAATTCCTTCAGTTAAAATTATTTCATCTATTAATCTATTTAAAACAAGTAATTCGACAAAACTTACGGTTTGGTAAAGAAGGCACTGCGCGCTTATCAATACCCAGATTAGTGAATAAACCGATAGCTGATGGAGCCTTGCCACCAGTTCCAGAACCGTAATTGGCGAAGAATCTAACTTTAGCTGCATCCCCGGCTTTAAAGAATTCTCTATCGGGTTTACTGACTATCACCCATTTCCTTCCACCGTCAGATGTTGAATATTTGTCGGCATTCCACATCTGAAAACCGAAATCTTAGACATTATCCAACTGATTACGGAGCAAGGATAACTTTACTGAATTTGCTGAATTGATCCATTTGTTTGTGATGGTTTTCAAGCCACTTATGGCTGTCTCCTCTTACTCTGCACCAACCGGGAGAGAGAGAGAGAGAGAGAGAGAGAGAGAGAGAGAGTTTAACGTCCACTGGACACAAACTAGGTCATTTCGGGACTAACATATGGTTCAATTTTATTTCTACAATTCCCTTGCACGTACGGCTCTTTAGCAGTGGGAGGAAACCGGAGGACCCGGAGAAAACCCACGAGGTCGGACAAGCGACCCTACTCCTTGTCACGTACAACCGGGAATCGAAACCACGCCAGTTGACTCAATGACAGACCTTATGATACAGCGCGCACGCGCAAACCATTCACCCCCCCCCCCACCAACCGGGATAATAATGACGAGCATATGCCATGTACTGAACGAAAGTTTTCCTGAGCAGTGGCGTTTTCGACTTCCAACAGACTAGATGCTGTGACTTACCAAATCGCTAACGATTAAAGATACATAATGTAAGATTTAGATAAAGAGCTAGCCATTCTTGCTATAATAGTTCGAATATAGATAATGTAAAATGAATAATTTGAAAATTTCATTCATATTACTCTATTGCGAGCGAAGATATAAGCCTTGGAATGTTTGACAAGACGTGTGCAATAATTTCAACCACCGTACTGGTTGGTCGAAGCTAAGTCTCGCTCCTCCATTTTTATCTTAAATCAAAATATGACTGAACTGTTCTAATCTATTTAATATCGGTGAAATCCGATGCCATCGAGAGTTGATTATGGCCTGGATAAGTTAATTAATGTCTAATTAATAATTTAGAAAACATTTCAGGCCTAAAGAAAGACCTGCAATAGGCAGATTTAGCTCTTGCATAATGTATGTTTAATTAGCTAAAATAATGTATGTTTAATCAATGGATAAGACAAATAAAGCGAGCTATTAACTCTACTTACGTCCATTTTCACAACGGGTGAATCGAATGTAATGGCAACCATCCAACCTTCAACATTCTCAGTAAGTGGAAAAGAAAATTCGGCCTCAAATCTATTTCCCCAGTCATTATAAATCTTTAGGGTTCCAGGTATGCTACCATTTAGATTGGCTAAAATGGGAATATGCTATGCTATCATTTAGAATAACAGAATTGTCTTATAGATATATCTATCAGACTATTCTACCACCTCAGATACCATCATCACTGCATAAAAAGGAATTCCACAAGCCATGGGTATTCCCGTATCCACAGCTCTCATATACACACTATTAATTGGGACTGCACTACATGGGGCCAAAATGTCAACATCTTCTAGGGGTAGCATGCAACAGAACTTCACGAGCAATCCCATAAAAAAATCCTGACTAAAACACTGTTGTCTTGTGAAATTTTGGATTGCCTCTTAAAGAATAAGACCTTTGTATAAAGGCTTGAAAGTGTCGGGTTTTGGGGGATTATTTTATAAATATCTACATTAAAATGACTAGTCTTTGAGTAAACAAAATAATCTGTCGACATGTGGGTGTTGTTACTGTGATAAAGGTAAATCCATCATGTTATTTTAGTTATAGTCCTACCTGGATACGTGACTTTATGAGTTGGCGCAGCAGTTGGCGGCGCAGTGGCTGAAATATGAGGCATATGAATAGTTTATAAAAAAAATTACCAAATCTATTAATTTATTTATCTGACCATATTCTTAAACATACATTATGCAAGAGTTAAATTTGCCTATTGAAGGTCTTTCTTTAGGCCTGAAATATTTTAAAAATTTTTAATTAGACATTAATTAACTTATCTAGGCCATAATCAACTCTCCATTGCATTGGATTTCTCCGTGATTAAATAGATTAGAACAGTTCAGCCATATTTTGATTTAAGCTAAAAATGGAGGAGCGAGACAGCTTCGATCAACCAGTACGGTGGTTGAAATTATTGCACACGTCTAGTCAAACCTTCGCTCGCAATAGAGTAATTTGAATGATTTTCAAATTATTCATTTTACATTATCTATTTTCGAACTATCATCGTAAGAATGGCTAACTCTCTATCTAAATCTTACATAATACATCTTTAAACAAAACTAACATTTGTAATAATAATGGGTTAATGTCACAGAGATATTATTATGGTTACGACTCCATCTACAAAACACCAGCCGGTTTCGTCAAGATCTACTGATTCCGGTCACAAATCAACTGTTAGAAGGAAGAGAAGCGATGAGACAATGCGACCGACGATTTGACCAGGTATGGCGCTGTGTGTGCGTTTATTTACCAAGTAAATTCCCAGTTGAAGTAGTACAATATACATGTAGTGGGAATTTTAACATTTAAAAAAAAAACAAAAGACGTACTTGTGCCGGTATAATCTGGAGGCATGGTGGCACCTTGAGTTGCAGCACCTGTAACCTTGTTACCATGACTATCCATCCCTTCTATAAAGGCTGAGCCTGTGGGATTGATGTCGCCGGTTGTATGACCAACAAATTCTATACACAACTGATCTCCAACGTGTTCGTCTGCATTCCAAACTTTATTGGTGAAAACAAATTCTTTACCATCTTGGAGGGTTTCAGAGAGTTCTGCAACCCATACCTGTATGTAAAAAAAACGTTTGAAAGATGTGTGCATTCCGTTTTATGAAAACAAATTCACATGTTATTGACCAATAACCAAAATGTTCACGAATGAGTAATACAAGAACCAACTTAAAATACCCCCCCCCCTCTCATGGACAATGCACATGTTAATATGTCAAGGGATCAACTTGGATATAACGTCTCGTGAACACCCGCCATTGTAACGTACGGTAATTTATTTTAAATGTTTCATTAATTGCATTTAAACTGATTTAAGCGACTGGAAACCCCTTTCTTGTCAGCCAGACACATATGGGAAAGGACGTTGGTGGATGGGAGCAAAGATTTAAGGGTAAGCCAACTATGCAAAAGTCGTTTTTGACATTCATGTGGATATCTGCCATGACGAAGATCAACCACCTTGAAGGGCCATAAATCCTTCATTTTGGAAAACGTAACATATCCAAGAAATCCGCCATTTTATAAACTTATTGAACAGTGACAGTGCAAACAGTCCGCCATTTAGAATAAGTAGTATCTATGGGTGAGGAACAATTCATTATACCATAAGACTTATGGATCAAGTGAGACGGATGTGAGATATTTGACACCAGTTTCCAACCAACAATCTGATTAAATTACAGATCTCTATTTCGTTTCATTTTTTTTATACTTTCGATGGCCCACACTACATGAAGATATGACCGGTTGTAGTGGAAGGTTGCGTCAGGGTTCATACGCCTGAGTTTTGACCCTATGACGTCAGACATTGATTAATCAATCAAGATTGACGTTTCAAGTGGTTTACCCACAGATAATCCCTCGAATCAATCAGAAAGCAGGTTATATAACAACTCTTCCAGAATCTAATGTTGTAAAGACAAGTAAAACGAAATTTTGAACTATAAAAAACGAAGTGAAATAGGATCTGTGTTTTCATCAGATTGTTTCCACAAACAAAATCTCAACCAATCTGAAACACGAACGAAGCACTTACCTCTATGCTCTCAACTGGTTTATCAAATATCACGTGAGCTTTCCATGTGTGAAGTTCTTTAGCGATGTCTATACAGAACTTGCCATTAAATCCTCCATTCCAATGACTTTTGATTTCAACATCCACGTTGGCCGCAGCAATACAGACCAAAGTGGCTAAAATCAGTAGCTTCATGGCTATAATTCAAAGGTAAATATTGATTAAAATACGAATATCCGATTTTGCCAGCGCTAAAGAGGTCTGATTCCGCGGTTATACGTGACGAGGTGAATTTTCCAAATAAACATACATGTATATACCACGTTAATTTCCAACAACCTGCCATATTAATTAATTAGTTCATAATAAGGGATTTGGGGATTTTAAAATTCTCGAGAACAGATTTGCCCAACAATCGTTTGATAGCACCGTCGTTAAATCCCCGCTGGAACAAATAGCGGACTTTATTTTTATATCTGATAAATACTGGCCTGTGTACCTACTAGTATATATTTAGTATCGTATTAGTTTTGAAAAAGTATTTTATTCAAGAGCAGATGAGTCTACATTTTACTTTGGTTTTATTTTAGGGTGGGGACGGGGTTGTTGGGGGCGGGGGGAGGGGGTCATAAAAATACATTATGCATTAACAAGCAAAATTAATAATGTATTCCTATTGACCTGATACATGGAAGGGATGTGGTCATAACTCATAACGGCCATGAATCAAAACGGCAAAAACATGACTTTGGTTAAAACGACCATACATTTGGTCAGAAATAGAACTCAGTCTTGCCAATGTAGAATAATTCAAGTGAGAAATTAATCAAACGCCGTTTGTACTGAACCTACCTGTCTACTGCGTCTCGGCAAACTGGCACCTGTTTGTTTTAAACGCGTCCTTGATATATATAAAGAAGAGCAGATCGAGATAACATAATTCGCCTACGATAATTTTATTCAGAATCACTTATCTCTGATTATAATCTTTGATAATCCAAGATAAGCTCCAGTACCAGGTAATGCCACGTGGTCAAAATTTGGAACCAGCCCACTGAATATTTTTGTAATGTAAAAGTACAATACTCATGAATAGTTTGTGATTCACGTCATATAACAAAACACGTGCAACAGTTAAGTATTGTTTAATGGTCGAGAGCGAGACATTAAGTAATATATTGTAACAACAAGAGGACCGTCAGGTCCGAGTGTTTTTACAATATATTACGCAATGTCTCAGCTCGAGACCATTAAACATCTTAAAATACAGACACCCAGTACATGCGTTTACAGTGAAATACGTCACTCGAGTCTAATATTTGACAAGGTACGATTGGCAAGTTGCCCGTACGATTATTTGAAATAATGGTACGCCAACATCAAAGGGTGACGTCACATCTGTATTTTAAGCGTCATTAATGGACACTTTAACGTTTGGCACTGAATATTACAAAACTCTGTATAATCATTTTAATTCGTTGGATTCCTGGATTAACTGGGGTTATCTCCCTTTCATCAAAATGAATGAATTGGAGAGAGAGGGAGAGAGAGAGAGAGGTGGAGATGGCGTTTAACGTCCACTCGACACAAGTTAGGTCATTTCGGGAGCAATATATGGTTCAATTTTATTTCAATAATTCGCTTGCGCCTAGAGGTGTTTAGCTGTGGGAAGAAACCGGAGGACACGCAAGAAGCCCACAAGGTGGGACAGGCGACCCCACTCCTTGTCACGTACAACCCGGAATCGAAACCACGCCGGTTGACTCAGTAACAGACTTTTGGTGCATTCCATTACTGGCGCCGCGCTTACTCGAGCCTCCACGAGTGCCTTCGGGTTACCGATGACGTCATTTAAACGGCTTACTCGCGCCAGGCCGAAGTAACCTTCCCCACGGAGCCGGTTACTAAGGGAAGTATCCCATAATCCAATTATTCAATATGGCAGCAAATAAATTTTTTGATCGAAGTTATATTTGCAGATTAAGTTTATGTGACGGAAGAATTATTGTTGACACTTTGCTCCGATTAAAAATACCATATTTCCATTCAACATAGTGTTGTGTTTATTTTAGTTATTCTACATCTGGGTGCAACGATTCCAGGAGTTAGAAAATTACACTCAACGTCCTTCCAGTTGCCCAAAGACACCTTCTATCGCAGAACTGAGCTGTTTATTTTTTTGTATTTTTTTTTTGATTACTGGTCAATTTCTCCAAATCATTGTGTGAAGTCATAAGCCATGACTGAAAAGGGCAGACTGGGTCCCCAAGTAAGAATTCTTCCACCTGAAATTTGGAATCTGGTTTGAGGAAAATACAAGAATTCCTCAAAACCTTACCGTCATGTGTTCACCCAGACTAGACGATGATCACATACAGCCTGGAGTACGACCCAGTGAACTGTTTGCGATTGATGTATGATATTCGATTGTCCTTCATCTTGGGCGCCATAATTCGAATTTGACGGCCACCTATAGCTCCGATTGTTCCGGGCGGGAAATTAACAATAAATTCTGCAAAACAGTCAGAAAGTTCTTAACTTTTGTAGGGTAATAGCCATTGAATAGTTGTTTTCATTAGAAACTCTGTATACAGTGCGTTGTTGGTTTAGATATTCCAAATTTATCGGATAGTGAGCAAAATGGCTTTAGGGTAGCGATATGCCACAGAAACACCACTGCTTGTTTTGGAATTGTAACTGGTATAACCCTGCCCTCCTAATAAACTGCAATTCCGGTAAGCCATGGAGCGCCTTAACAAATTTATCAAACCTTAAATTATATCTTTGGGGTTTTATTTCGATTCTCCTGATTTAATTTTCCCAATAAGATGCCAATAAAAAAACTCTGTATCAATTAAAGTTTTTTGGTAGATTATTGTCTGATCGCCGTTATTTATCTGAGCATAATTGTTTGGCGGCGTTTATCTTCCATTTTGATACCTAAAGAAAGCGCCGCGCCGTTCGATTACCCGTTCCCACTGCACATGTCGAAGTGTACTCGAGGATCCTGGGGTCAAGTAAGTCCGGAGCAAGTAGCCTTATCGAACGCGATAATTATGATACAACGCGCACGTGCTAACAATTCGGCCCTAGGAAACCGGAGAACCCAAAGATAACGCATGAGGTTGGACAGACGATATTACTCCTTGTCACGTACAACAGGGGAATAAAAACCACGCTAGTTGACTCAATGACAAACTTTATGACACAGCGCGTACGCGCTAAACATTCGCCCATCCAACCCCACGAAAAATGAAATAAAATAGGGTTTTTCTGTACCAAATGGGTTAATGAAGCCATGAGATACGTCTACCGCATTCACGGGACCTCGGCTTTTTCGTCACACCGATTAGACTCTTTAGAAGTCTTGAAATGAAATGAAATGAGGTTTCACGTCCCACTGCTCTGCCCAGACTGCGGTAATAAAGACGGGCATGCGCCATACAGTGTTCTACGAGGGAAATTGTTACTGCCAAGGGATTTTTTTACGTGATCTGAATGTATACACCGGAGCACGGGTTTTCGTCCCACCCGAACGACAGACAACTGTCCTTGTCAGGCCCTCCGTCCTGCACCACTGACATAGCCGGATGAATTTTCCCGGCTAGTGCTGTGATCGAATAAAGACCTCCAGACCTCACTTAGTTTAATAAAATTTCAAATATTGGCATTGTAACATCTGGAATCATATGTAAATAGTTCATCGCGTGCATTTTGCATACCGATAGTTCATTGGCCAATCACGCTATTTTACCGACATTTCGCCTAATAGTTTGGATGCAGCTATGGCGGGTGTGGCGCCAGGCAGGGTAAGCTTACTCTTCCGGACACCTGTTACCACTGTTTGTCGTGTAATTTGTACACGAGGAGCAGTCCATTTGCTGATTACACTATTTTGCTTGAATACACTATTTTGCCTATAACGTTTTTTAGGACTTCGAATTCTGTCTTATGGTTTGGATTGTTCGTACTTGGTTTTATTTTTTAAGCAAAGCCATGGTACCACAGCATTTTAGCTACTCCGCCCTCTGTACGTCTTAAACATACAAAGTATAAAATTTCAATTTTTGCCTTGGTAACATCTGTGTCAAATGGACCTTACGTAGCAAAGCCATGACAGGTCCAGTACATTTAGCTAGTTAACCCTCTCTTCCTCCGGGGATGTTCTGGTCGACCAATAGATCACTGGTCGCAGAGAAAATACCAGGTGTAGGTCCTGAGCAACAATTGCCGCATAATCCACCCTCCCACCCCACCCTCTATTCACGATTTTCTAACGAAGAATTTCTCCAATAGTGTGGTTGCTGATAGTGACAATGTAGAACCTCGCCATTTACGAAAAGAAATGGGGTTTATCGTTCTACTTTTCTGCTCAATCCGGGAAAATGAAGTCGGGCACATGTTTAGGATTCACATTAAACCCTACATGTTTGCGGTTGACATTAAACCCTACATGTTTACGATTAACATTAAACCCTACATGTTTACGATTCACATTAAACCCCACAAGTTTACGATTCACATTAAATCCCACATGTTTACGATTTACATTAAACCCCACATGTTTACGATTCACATTAAACCCTACATGTTTGCGGTTGACATTAAACCCTACATATTTACGATTCACATTAAACCCACATGTTTACGATTCACATTAAACCCCACATGTTTACGAAATGTAATCAATTGGGGTTTAACGTCCTACGTTTCTGCTCCAACCGGGCTAATGGTTACGAAACAAAATGAAATAAAATGGGGTTTAACGTTTTCTGCTCGATTTGGGTGTAATAAAGGCGGGTATATGTTTACGATTTAAACTGAAAAAACTATATGGTTTTACAAAACTTTATTTAAAGACATAACTAAATGATTGCTTAAACGGGACATGGACATTTCGGTGCATCCGCTTTAGGAAGAGACTTGGTGTGAGTAAGATGAACCAAACCTAAATTTAAAAATATAAATGTGTTTATAGAATCGTTCAAAATACACCAAAACGGAGCCAATGGGTAATTGGTAATTGCACAAATGAAATGGGGTTTATGACCCAATTGTTCTGGACCGGCATTGCTAATGCAAGCGGATATCCGCCATAGAGTGTGCTATGAGGGAAGTTTTGCCTACGGCTTACTCTTATTTCGAATTCAAACTGTCAAGGATTTTTCGTCATACCCGAAGGACTAAACACTGTTCCTTGTTAGGCCCTCTAACCAATCTGATTAAAATACAGATCTATATTTCGTTTCATTTTTTTATACTTTTAATGGCCTACACTACATGAAGATCTGACAAGTTGTAGCGATAGGTCGCGTCAGATGTCATACGAGCGGCTTTTGAGAGGAACTTTTAACAAAATTATACTTAAAAAACAATAAAAAATAAACCCCCTAAAATCAGCAATAGAAAATATCGCTAGTGCGATCATGGGTCACCATACATCACATATTATGCATATTCTATAATTGATCACAACGTTAATACCGCTGGTGCGATCATGGACCACCAACATCACACATTATCTCTATTCTATAATTGCTCACAACGTTAACTTTCTCCAGTTCGTTCGTTCGTTCCTAGCGTTTTACGTCCACGTCCACCATGGATGATATCGTAAACAAGTGTTTCTTAAGAAACTTACTAGAGGAAGCCATAGGAAATAGGCTTGATCCAGTTTGAATTGGGTCAAACACAGGGAAATGTGCAAGGTAAATCTCATGACCATAGATGCTATGACCTTAGTTAGGGTAGGTAGATTGTAGGTTTGACTGTCAGCCGGACCCTAGGGCCCGCCGCCTGTCCTACCTAGGTTCAGGGCCAGGCATTGTCGTGCCATAAGCCTTACCACCAAAAGAAAAAAACGCCTGCCACAGGGCACCCGACATGGATACTCACCAGCAAGAGTTGATTGAAGACCAGAATTATAATCGCAAGCAACTTCATTGTGGACATAATCTTCTCTTTTATCTTCGTACTTATCAGAAGCATCAGGTCCACCAACCATAGCGCCGATTAATAAATGTGGACTGGCTCCTGGTGTGTGAAGATTAGCCTCGCTGCATGGTTCAGGAATATCAGGACAAGATCTAAAACAAGGGAGGTAAGAAATGTGTTAATAAAACTGATATACACCATGTAGTGCTCTATGAGGGAAATTTGAAATCATACGCGTGGACAATCTGATGAAAACACAGATCTTTTTTCGTTTCGTTTTTTATAGTGCAAAATTTCGTTTTACTTGTCTTTACTACACTAGGATCTGGAAGAGTTCTTATATGGATGATGTTACGGAGTAACCAATGAAAAGGTCTGTTACGGCGAGTTTTTGGCGTGGGGTGGACGGAAACCATAGGGAACGTCATATGGTCAAAATCCGCTCGTGTGACCTCTGACGCGACCTTCCACTAAAACTGGCCAGATCTTCATGCAGTAGAGGCCACCAAAAGTATAAAAAAACGAAACGAAATATAGATCTGTGTTTTAATCAGATTGATACGAGGGTTACTTCATATTTAAAGATACATTATGGGAGATTTGATAACGAGTTGGCAGTTCTCACTATAATAGTTAAAAACTAGATAATGTAAAGGCAATTTGCTGAAAATAATTTCATTCAAATTGATCCACTATGAACCAAGAACTAAGCGATTGAAATTTCCGCCTAGCCTCGATCATCATTACTAAAGTCGGTACGATAAACAGCATAGTCTCGATTATCTAGTTAATCGTTAAATCGTGAAGGAAAGTTATGCAGTAAATCGGCTGACAATCCACTAAAGATCGCAGGCTAGCGATGCCATCTAGAGTCGATTATGATCTGCATAGGTTAATTAATTTCTAATTAATATTTTAGATAACATTTCATGCCTAAAGAAAGACCTGCAATAGAAAGATTTAGCTCTCGCATAATGTATATTTAAGCATATGTTAAAAATGTAATATGAATGTATATAAACTGATCTACACCCAATTGTTTCTGTTTTGCTGTAATTTCTAATCAGTTCTGTTCGGCGAAATACGCCAGAAATCTCAATCGAATGCCAATCACTAGTGTCTGGTAGTATTCATTGCGCATGCTCTCCAGATAAGAATATGACCGCTTGACATGACTTGTGGAATATATCTAGCCCCGTTCTAGAATTGGTGTACCAATGGTACAAGGTTTATTTTGTCTTAAATATTGGATATCAGAAGCCCATCTTTTCCCGGTAAGATCACAACATCAATTTTGATTTAAATTGACAAATAATTCGTGTTTTCAATGTCAAAGACTTTGGATGATATTGAGTTAGAGACTTAGCTACTTTAACAATTTAGGTAGATGACTTACGCTGATCTGTGATGGGGATTTTTAGGGTATGATTTACCAAAACCGATGACATAACTGAAACATTTGTTGTTCTGTCCAAGAATGTAGTTGATTTGACTTTGAGCCCATTTTCTGTAGGTAGTGGCGTCTATACCAGCATCGGCAGCCATTAAAGCCAAAAAGGCGGAGTTAGCTGAAAGAGATGATAAAATTATTTAATCTGTGTTTCACTAATAACGCGATCTAATTAAACATACATTATGCAAAAGCTAAATCTGCCTATTTGCAGGTCTGTCTTTAGGCTTGAAATGTTATCTAAATTATTATTTAGACATTAATATTAACTTATCCAGACCATAATCAACTCTCGATGACATCGCTAGCCTGCAATATTTACTGAATTAGAACCCTTTCTGCTGCTTCTGATTAAATCAAAAAATTGATAACCTAGACTATGTTTTTTTTATCGTACCGACTTTAGTAATGATGAACGAGGCTAGGCCCAGAATTCAATCGCTAAAACCTCGGGTGTATCAATTTGACGGAAATTTTCAGAAAATTCCCTTTACATTATCTAGTTTTTACCTATTATAGTGAGAACTACCAGCTCTCCCATAATGTATTTTTAATGTTTTTAAAGTTGTCAGCAAATTGCCTTTACATTATCTAGTTTTTACCTATTATAGTGAGAACTACCTGCTCTCCCATAATGTATTTTTAATGTTTTTAAAGTTGTCAGCAAATTGCCTTTACATTATCTAGTTTTTACCTATTATAGTGAGAACTACCTGCTCTCTCATAATGTATTTTTAATGTTTTTAAAGTTGTCAGCAAATAGCCTTTACATTATCTAGTTTTTAACTATTATAGTGAGAACTACCAACTCTTTATCTAATCTCCCATAATGTATCTTTAACCACTTATATTGTCGCTTATAAAGTGGAAGGGGACAAAAGGTCTAAGGCAGACGTGCGCTTTAGATCGTGAGGTCTGTTATTGAGTCAAGTGGAGTGGTTTTACTCCGTGTCCTCCGGTCTCCTACGCGCAAGCAAATTATTGAAATAAAATTGAACCACATGTTTGTCCCGAAATGGCCTAATTTGTATCGAGTGGACGTTGAACCGTATTTGTCTCTATATATTTCTTTTTTCAATAAAATTCTGATTTGAAAGCAAGAGGGCTGAAAATGCAAATGCGCCTTGTCGTACGGATGGGAAAAACACGTGCACGTAAAATAAACCATGACAGTTTGAATTCAAAGGAGAGAAGGCACACGCCATTCCATCCAACGAAAGCATAGTTTGTACAAAGGGGCACGCTATACTGTATTTGGAACCTTTAATGACAATTCATTCCATAACATCCACATTTCAGAATTTTAGCGTCGAGTAGAATACAACATTTCTAATGGGTTCTACCAATTTTACCCCACTGATCTCTCCAGGACATTCATAGTAGAACCCTATTGACCTCTTTAGGACCAGCATATCTAGTAGAACCCCACTGATCTTTCCCGGGCCAGATTTCTAGTGGAACCCTATTGATCTCTCCAGAACCAACATACCTTGTAGAAACCCACTACTAGTCTCTCCAGACTAAGACACGTGGCGTCTATCTAACTTACCAGCATACCTTGTAGAACCCCACTGATCTCTCCAGACTAAGCCACATGGCGTGTATCTAACTTACCAGCATATCTTGTAGAACCCCACTGATCTCTCCAAGCTAAACCACATGGCGTGTATCTAACTTACCAGCATATCTTGTAGAACCCCACTGATCTCTCCAAGCTAAACCACATGGTGTATATTTCATCTGTCCACCGCTTGGTAACCAGGCTTTAAAGAATCCTACTACAGCTTTGCTGTATTGACTATCTTGGGTTTCTTGATACAACATCAACTGTAAATGTGGATCATACAATGAATACATCATTGATCAAATCATCGTACACCTTCGCCTCTCCCAGCTGGGCTGGGAAAGTTGAAGATATTCGATAGCATCATTGATTAATTCAAGAGACAATGACTTAGCTGCGTTATTGTATCCGTGACCAGAATTTCTAAACGCAATTTCTAAAGCCGCTGATCTTTTCCATATTGTGACAATCGAATCTCTAAAAGAAATACCAGTCTGAAATGCTTCAACGACATTCAGTATTTACAAAAATATGATGAATTGTACCACATTTTAATCCGATTGAATGCATGTCGAGAGATACTCTTCCATTGATAACCGGTTTTGACATAGATAATCAGTTGGGAGTACATTTTTAGTGTGGATTAAAATTAGATATTGTCCGAAAAGAAATGCAAATGACGATCATCGGTTTTAAGACTAACATACTTTATTACTGGTGATTGGAAATTTTGTTTTAAATCCTATTTTCACTTTGATAACGCCAGCAACCATCCAAGTCGATTTCAAATGCGAGTTTAATATCAAAATTAATGTAAGCCCCTCAAATTCATATATGGATTTCTTTGTTGAAATTCTTAGGGATTACAGAGATTTTTTTTTGTTATGCAAGGGATAGAGTATGCCTACTTTCTTTTTTAAACAAAAACCTGATGATGTTTTAATGGTTCACATACTGTCTTCTGTTTAGAATCAACTGTTATTTACCTGACAAGCAACCTTCTTATCATCCCAAGATAAAGCCCAAGCCCAAGCTGTCTCCACGAATGTTTTAGCATCACTTAAGTATTTAGGATCTTTGGTAGCTCTGTACAACCAGATAGCTGCTTCACACAGTTCATCCACATAACCACTGGAACTGTTATTAGAAATAAAAGGAGATGCATTTAAAATACAAAAGAACTAAATGATATGAAATGGGATTCGTTCGAAGTCCTACTTTTATGCAGCAACCATGCTAATGAGGACCATTTTTTAAGAAACAAAAAACCCGTTCACCAAGAAACAGATAACCCTAGACAGAAATTGTCGGGTTTTTTAACTTGGAAATTGTTGACATTTATTGTTTTCTATACCCCTTGGTGGATCAGAAATCATAGTACTTACGAATAAAATTGTCCAGCGCCTTGAACACTCTGTGAATATTTTCCTTTGTAAGTTTTAGCAAAGACGTAAAGTGATTTGGCAGCAGTTAATAGTTTGGTTGCGTATGCAGCATCTAAAAAGACAAATTCACACAGCTTGTTTCATTTTGGAATATTTATTGGTCTGATACCAATAAGCTATTATTACAATGACCTCCTCCTTTGTTAAGCGAAATCTTCAAGTGTCTTGTTTATAGTTCGCGGTTATCAAGACTGAATAAAGATGGAGATGAAACCTTTACGATGTTTTTTTTTGTTATTCTTCTACACGTTACAGAAAAGTAGGCCATGCTGTAGAGGGCTCTTTGGTCGTTTACACAGTTAGTGAACTTCTTTAATTGGAAAAAGTACCTCGGTAAGTAAATTAGTAAATGAAGATATTTACCTCGTTTCTTGAAAGCGATATATCCAGCAGCCATTGAAGCAGCTGTTTCACCAGCAACATCACTACCTGGTTTACTTGTTGTTACTTTTAAGGATGGTCGGGCCATTTTCATATCTTCAGCTCTACCCCAGAAGTGATGATCATCATCACCATTACCAACCTAATGCGTAGCAACAATTAAATGGTAAAGGTTAAATCTAATAAACATGTTACAAGTTAGTGAATCAGTCTTTTAAAATACGTCCCAATTAAACAACACAAATATTGCAATGCACCCTGATATCCCCAACCTGCGATAGCAATAAAATAGCAAATGATAGCAACATTGAAGGTGCGGATATTGAAACTACTAAAAGCTTTACCGGTTAGTAAAGGTGTCGCTTTGACTACTTCTCAGTTAGATGGCATATGTACCGCAATATGGACCATGAAAAAAAAACCCGCTAATTCAACAATAGAGTCCTAAGAATTACCTGCATGTAAAATTCATTTTTCGCGGGAATCCAACATTTCAAGAAATAATCCAAAGGCCATTTAATCATGTCAAAGAACTTGTCAGTGAGACTTGTAGAGGAATATGCATCAGGCCATTGGATATAAGACCACAGTAACAGGTGAGCAGTGGCGGCCATTGGTAGACCAAATTTAACATGATCACCAGCTGAAAAAAAAATCCACAAAATGTTATTGGTTAAACGCGATAACAGCGATACAGAACCCTATCGAATTTCAAATGTTTGGAATTTTCAATTTGGAACTCAATTTTGTGGATTTATTTTTGTTATATTTTGACATTGATGTAACAATTTAACATGATCACCAAGTGGATAGACATCACAATTAATGTTAAGAGAACGGAATATGGATGGAACTAGATCCGTAAAATAGGATTGGATAGATACGAGTCTATTCGCCGTGATCAAAATAAAATATGTAAACAATTAACTCCTTTAATGCCTAATACATCCTTTGGTCAATGTTCTTTGCCATATTTATGAAATGAAATTCACAAGTTTTTAACGAAATGTTCTAGTTTTATGCTATTTCTTTTAAAGGTTAACTTCAGACTTAGTTTTTGTTAATATGTAGATTTTTGTTTATTAATATCTCTTTTTGTCTTACTGTACAATTTATCTTTAGTCTCACAGTAATATAAATCCAAAACGTCCTCGGCCCTGTAAAGCCCATTAGAACAGTCAGTCACTGTCTAGATTTACTTGCGCTTCATAGATGAATACTGTTCTAGCCCGTGATGCTATTCTCGAGGTTTTTCTATGGGCAGTTCATTTGGAGTCTTATTCCTTTGCCGTTTTCAAACGGAGCTGGATGAAACTCGATAGGGACATTCTTTGGAACAGTCCTTAGGACACATGTGGGCTATTCAATCGTTGTACTGTTTATCAACCGTCCACAACCGCTAGTTGATGCAGTTTGCTGGAAACCATGTGGTTGTTTTAGGCGGACTCGTACTTCTTATAATAAGCCAAATCAACAGAGATCAGTTCTTACCATCATACCATCCACCAGTCAGATCAACACCAACATCAGAACCATCATTCAAAGCAGAATCACCCCTCCATTTGATTGGATTGTTAGCTGGAAGTTTACCAGATCGTTGAGCATCGTAAAAGAGGATGGAATTAGCGAGTGGTTTAGAATAATCGTAAAGTCCTCTATCACCACCTGTAGTTAACCATGAAACATTTAAACATTAGACATACATTAAACAATTCTATGGACAATTAATTTTAGACGGCGTTTCCACGAGGCTTTTTCTCATGCTAGGTTCCCATTGTCGTGCGATGCATTACGATAGAATTGTCCCTATTGAATCCACGATCTGGTACGTGCAGATACGTTCGGATACGATCATCACGGCTGCTACGATTGGTCTCAATATATCATAACACTTAAGAGGATCACCAAGACTACTCCAAGATTAAAACGGGGATTTCAATTGTAGCATGAATCGTGATAGCGGGAACCTAGCATTACCAAGCAACGTTCATGATGGTCAAATCAGAAACATGCCACTTGAAGATGACCTAATACCAAATATCATAAAATAAAAAAAAACATTATGCAGATGATTAAGTTTGATTATGGTAATACCAGTTCATTTACTAAATTCCAATGAAATATTTTAGACATATAGTATTCAATCAACGGTGTCTCGTTAATACCCATATCTATCTTGAAAACCCCATCTGACAGAGCACTCGACCGAAGTCTTGAGTAAAGGACATCTATATTGAAAGAGCAAGTCTTGAGTAAAGGACAACTCTATTTACTCCATAGTGTTAATTAATAAATATCTTAATTACCTGGTGTAAATTAATAAATATCTTAATTACCTGGTGTTAATTAATAAATATCTTAATTACCTGGTGTTAATTAATAAATCTTTTAATTACCTGGCATAGGTACAATCACAGGTTTTGTAACTGGGCGACCTGTTACTGGTGCTGGAAGGGAAAATATGTTTTTTTGTTAATAAGACTGAATTTTATTTCAATTATTCGCTTGCGCGTAGGGGTCTTTAACCGTGGGGTGGGGGGAGCGGAGAACCCGGATAAAACCCACGAGGTTGGACAGGCAACCCTACTCTTTGTCACGTACAACCGAGGCGTCTTAATGACAGGGCTTATGATACAACGCACACGCGCTAACCACTCGGCAATCCAACCCCTCGAGATAAAGAGAAATGGTTTCTGTAAATTGATAACCTACTTTTATGCAATATTTGATAAAGAGATAAGAACGCATACAGCCCGATGCCTAATGTATACGACTGTGACCTTGTCAGAAAGATTGGATTGATCTTTTCTAAAAGTAAGTGCAGGACGACCGCACAACACACAAAACAAAACCGACAAGACAAACCCGCGGACAAGGCAAACTAATGAGGTGTGGGTCATTATTCTATGTTTAAAATTCATGGTGCGAAAATATTACACATTTTATTTATTGTAGTTGATCGTTTAAACATACATTATGCAAGAGCTAAATCTTCCTATTGCATGTCATTATTTAGGCTTCAGATTTTATAGAAATTATTAATTAGACCTTTATTTACATGACAAGCTCAAAATCAACCCTGCTACATACATCTTGGATTTAAACAGTCGTCCATTTAAAATTAAATCAAGAAATGGCCGACCAAACTAACGTTTACCGTTAGTCACAGACGTCACTACCGGAAACTGGCGATGAAAGCCCACCAAGCGAGAGTACCATAGCCATAGAAAATGTTACTTGATAATCGAGAATATGTGGGTGAAATTATCGCCTGTCAATCAAACGATCGGCAAATTTCGTTGACGGTGCGGACACAGTTGATGCCTATTTCTAGTCCAAACTTCCAACATTGACAACTCCGTCCAGAATAAAGTAATTTGACTGAAATTTTCAATATTTTCTTTTTTTATCATCTATTTTTAAATTATTATAGCAATTAATAAAACCCCTAACTAATGTATCTTTAAGTGATAAAGAAGCACGCCTCGTCTAAACTCACCATGTGAAAATTTGTTTCCACTACCATCCATACCCTCAATAGTAACAGTAGCAGTAGGGTTAATATCACCCGTGGTGTGACCAACAAAATCAACGCAAAGTTTGTCACCAACCTTCTCTTCGGCATTGAAATCTTTGTTAGTAAGAACGAATTCTTTACCACCCTGTTTTGTTGCACTCACGTCTGCAACCCAAACCTGGTTTTATTTATAAAAGAAGAATGTAGTTTGTTTGTACAAAGAAAGGGCGGTAGGTCAATATGATTAAAACACAGATCCTATTTCGTTTCGTTTTTATAGTTCAAAATTTCGTTTAACTTGTCTTTACTACACTTGGATCTGGAGGAGTTGTTATCATTGGCGTGTTCTGAATAATGTGAGCTATTAGCCAATGGAACGGTCTGTTACGGAGAGCTTTAGGCGTGTTTTGCACGGAACTGTGGGTAATCCACTAGTAACATCAATGCTGATTGGTTAATCAAATGTCTGACGCCATAGGTTAAAAGCACGCTCATATGACTTCTGACACAACCTATCGCTGCAACCGGTCAGATCTTCATGTAGTGTAGACCATCGAAAGTATAAAAAAACGAAACACAATATAGATCTGTATTTTAATAAGATTGGGCAGTAGACATTGTTGAATGAAAACCTTTAAAATATATAAATTTCCACAAAAATGACACTTTTTGCGATATTGTTATTTCCAGGCAGGATCTAGAAAAGAGCACATCAGCGCAGTGTGTAGCGTGGGCTGGTGGGCCACTGCGGTGGTTGCCATGGGCGGAAAAATCGTAGGGGGTTCAATTTAGTAATAATAAATTCGAACATGCACAGTGTAGCGAAAAACATGGTGGGGCAAGATAACGCTGCTCGGAAACATTTGGTAGATGCTAGATCTAATTCGTAAGGCCAACTCAAGATTTCGTCAAGGTCGCTGAGATGTAAATAAGGTTTGGGCACGTGATTTTTGGAGGAGATTGCAGGTTAGGGCTAGGTTCAGGTTTAGGGTTGGGATTAGCGCTAGCCCTGTTTACATCTCGTGACCTTTGACCAAACTTGAATTGGTCTTATGAAATAGATCTAACCATTGGTAGGCGCAATACTTGTCTTGTCCCGAGCGCTGGCAATCACGCTACGCCACCACAACAGCATATATAAATGTACGTACTATAATTCAGTAATGGAAACAGGCAACGTTATTGGTAAGCTAGATGCATAACTGCATGTTCCATCCTCATTTTATCTCTCCGGTTTTGTACCAAGGTAAGTAAATCGTACAGGGTGGCGCGTGGGGGGGGGGGCAGAAATGGTGTTTAACGTCCACTCAACACACACTAGGTCATTTCGGGACTAACATATCGTTCAATTTTATTTCAATCAATCGCTTGGGTGGAAGGAAACCGGAGGACACGGAGAAAACCACGAGGTTGGACAGGCAACCCTACTCCTTGTCACGTACAACCGGGGAATCGAAACCACGCCAGTTGACTCAATGACAGACCTTACGATACAGCGCGCACACGCTACCCCCCACCCCACCCCAAATCGTACAGGGAAAATATGTAGCAAAAGATTGTCATCAGCCCAAGCACATCAAGCACCTATCGGGTGATAGACCATGATAGTAACATATCGTTAATTAAAGTTAATTAATCGTATCTACTTACATCAAGGGATTCTATTTTTTGATCAAATATAAGATGAGCCGTCCATCCATGTAACTCCTGGGTGATTGGGATACAGAAGCTTCCGGTGATTCCTCCACTCCAGTGGGTCTTTATGGTCACATCCATAGAGGTGGTGGAACCCAGAAGGATCCCAAATATAAATAACAAAATCATAATTCTTTCTGAAATACAGAATACACGATTATTACTTAAAAACAATCCCTGGATATTTGTTCTAGGATTAATCGAAGATAAAAACTTAAACAAAACAATGGAAAAAGTTCTGTAACTCTTAACATGGTTCTGCAAACTACATCCCAAGTATAAAAGTCCTACAGCCTCTCCTATCCATGAACCTCTCATATATAACAATGCGTTGCGACTACTCACTTTACAGGTGCTCAACAGGATCTGATAGATACCACCAATCTTCTGGATTATATTCAATTTGAAGCCCATAGACAATAGACTTGACGCCCACATTTTAACATAATGAACCAATCTAGGAGTTTAGGAATCAGTCAGCTGTTAATCAACAGACCTTTACCTATATTTCTTTACTGATAACAAATCTTTTGGTACTCTACATTTGACTATATTTTCAACTTATATAATGTGTATAAAACAGTGCCTCCTCCATATCCGAGAAAGTTCATCCAGATTTTCCGGAGTGGTTCCCTCTTGTCAGTGATACAGGGCGGAGGGCCTGACAAGGACAGCTGTCTAGTCGTTCGGATGGGACGAAAAACCGAGGTCCCGTGTACCCATTGGCGTGCAAGCAAAAGATCCCTTGACAGTTGGAAGATGATATAAGAGTAGGCCGTAGTGCCACTGTCCAGGCAAAATTTCCCTCATAGCACACTGTTTGGCTTATGCCCGTCTTCATTAGCCCAGTTCGGAGCAGAACAGTAGGACGTTAAACCCTGTTTCATTTCATTTCCTTCATATCAGATAGGAGTCACGGTGGCTAAATGAGTAAGACGCTGGATCGCTAGTCTGGCGGTCGCAGGCTCACTCCCGGTTGTGGACGATTTTCCGGAGTGGTTCCCTTTTGTCAGTGGTGCAGGACGGGGGGACTAACAAGGACAGCTGTATCGTCATTCGGATGGGAGGTCCCTTGTGCATACTGGTATGTACGTAAAAGATCCGGTATCAATTGGAATTCGCTGTAAGAGTGGGACGTAGCGTCGCTGCCCGGGCACAATTTCCCCCATAGCAAACTGTATGGCGTAAACCCGTCTTCATTAGCCTTGTTGGAGCAGATAGCTGCTATCGATTATACGAAACCTGTATTCATTAGAATCCACCGAATGATTCTGTTGTTGTCGAGGTACAGTTATCACCCATTTCATTTCATTTCATTTCATTTTTCGGGGGGTTGGATGTTTAGCGCGTACGCGTGGTATCATAAGGTCTGTCATTAAGTCAACTGGCGTGGTTTCAATTCCCCGGTTGTAGGTAACAAGGAGTAGAGTCGCCTGTAAAACCATCTCTCTCTCTCTCTCTCTCTCTCTCTCTCACTTCCTTTTTCAGTTTCAACCATTCACGCCTACATTCTAATATGATTCTATATAGTGCTATCACTTCAGTGTCCTTCACCCACGATCTTTGTTAGTGTTCAATGTATGTAAAACATTACACAGCCCGTTTACTCACCAATAATAAACGTCAGCGGTGCACTTTCTTATCTGTTCACGTCCTACTTTCCTGCACTAACTGGGCTAATGAAGACGGGCGTACATCATACAGTGTGCTATGGGGAAATTTTGCTCGGGCAGCGGCACTACGGCCTACTTTTATTTTGAATTCCAATTTTCAAGATTTCGTTTACATGTACTCCATTGTGTACACGCCGGGACCTCAGTTGTTCGTGTGATCCGAACGAATAGACGCTGTTCTTGCCAGGCCTTGCGTCCTGCACCAGAGGGGGACCAGGACCGGAAAATCCCGAGGTACTTTTTCGGCGAACATCGGGAGTTTTTGGTTGTATTTTAAATCTTTAAGGGATTGAAACGAAGTCCTATAATTGTACGGAAAATTGTGTGCTATTAATGAACCCTCATCAGTTAAATGGCTCCGATACAAGTAACACATGTTGGCCAATTATCATTAGATATCTCATTAATTGAAAGTCTTTGTGGTATGGTATATCCTTTTCATTTCAGAACGTTTGGACAGCGTGGAGCATTTTATTTTCAATATACAAGCTTCTTCAGACCCGTCGTCTTTAGCCAAGTCAGTGCAGGAAAGTATGACGTCAAACCCCATTTCAACAGTAGGATGTTAAACCCTATTTCATTTCATTTCATTTCTTGCCAGGCCTCCGTCCCGCAACACTGACAACGTGAATCCCGAGCCATAGACGTACGAGCCAGGGGGGTCGCCCCCACCCTAATTTTCGGACAATCTGACTTTTCGGGCAGACGGGTAAAGTGAAGTCGACGGACTCCGCCGCCGGTTACCCAAAATTGTTTCGGGCATTTCAGGTTCTGCCCCCTAACATCCATTGAGCCCGTACGAACCTTTTCTGTCAACATCGGAATCCAATACGGGACCTCCTGTGAACCAGATACAATGAATTATAGTTTGTGCAAAGTGAGCCCAGGGGCCTGTTTCAAGAAATTTTTAACGAAGATAAAATCCAATTTTTAATAATTTGATTGGATAATATTAGATTGATTTTAGTGATTAGCCAAGCAAAATTGAAGTATCTACTAAAATTTGGATTTTATCTTTAGTTAAGATTTCAAGAAACATGGCCCAGTGCGCTTAAACCCGACGACAATCCATCAACGTAAAGCTACAATTAAACTATCGATCTACTTGACGTTTGTTTATTTAACTGGTTGATAATTAGGAGAAAATGATACTTTATACGTACAGATCTAAATCATCAGTAGCTAACCGACAATAACACACCATTATCATTCTACGAACATACGTAGTTACACTATTACACTACACCCACATGAAGGTATCCCTATTGACCAATCCAGAGTGGCCAAATCAAACTGCGAGTATTTACCAACTGTTGAATGGCTTTGAGTTTCAGAGAAGAGTAACCACCATCCGACTGGCTGTTCGGTGTTTTGTTTGCTCGATCTGTGAATAGTTTTAATGATGGCAGCTAAAATTCTTTTTGGAGTTTTGATGGCCTTGTCAGTTATTCAGTCTTTTGGTAAGTTTTCTTTTACTTTCTGGTCAACTGATATTTAAAGTAGTCATTAAGTCTTAAGACTACATTATGCAAGAGCTAAATCTGCCTATTGCAGGTCTTTCTTTAGGACTGAAATGTTATCTAAATTATTAATTAGACATTAATTAACTTATCCAGACAATAATCGACCCTCGATGTCATCGCTAGCCTTCTATATTTACTGGATTAGGATCCGGTTTGCTGCTTAACTTTCATCCATGATTTAATCATGAAGTTAATAATCGAGACTATGTGTTTTTATCGTACCGACTTTAGTAATGATGAACTAGGCTAGGTCGAAAATTCAATGGCTAAATTCTCGGTTCAGAGTGGATCAATTTGACTAAAATTTTCAACAAAGTCCCTTTCAATTATCTAATTTTTAATTATTATAGTGAGAACTGCCAACTCTTTATCTAATCTCCCATAATGTATCTTTAAGAATTAATATGTTTTCTAATGTGTAACCCTTTTCTTAGAGGGAAGTAGAAGGGACGTAAAATAGAAAAGAATAAAATAAATATATAAAGATAATAGCCCCAACGATAGAGTATAACTATCTGCCATGAAGTGAAATGGGGGTTTAACGTTTCGGTACAAACTGGGCTAAACAAGACGGACAGCGAGGTCTCCGCCTACTCCCCGTTTTTCAAGTGTCAGTTGTCTTGCCAGAAACATCGTTTTGCATCTCTGACGATGATAAAATCCGAGAAACTTCCTCCACCAACGGAATCGAACCCAATACCTTCTGGTTAGTGAACCAGTACCTTACTAACTGATCCACCGTGGCCCCCTTGTATTTTGTAAAGGGTTAGTAACACAAATTTTATATATTTAAAGTAGCCAAGTTTCTAACTCAATATCATCCAATTATTTGTCAATTTACATCATCATTGATATTGTGATCTTACCAGAAAAGATGGGCTTCTGATGTCCAACATTTAAGACAAAATAAACATTTTACCATTGGTACACGGATCGTGTAAAATAATGCGTTTCAGCGCGATTTGTAACAAGAAATTCGAAGAACGAGGGGTAGACATATTCCACAAGTCATATGTAATCTAAAGAGCTTGCGAACAAATACAATCGGTGTAGTCTGGAATACCCAGCCGCTAAAGATTGCCATTCGATTGACACTTCTGGCGTATTTCGCCGAACATAACTGATTAGAAATTAGAGTAAAAACTAAAACGACTGAATGTAAATCTGTTTATATACATTCATATTACATTAATATGCGTTGAGACCCATTTGTCTCAATTTCTAGATCCAAAATATTGGGGATTTAGCTGCTTTAGAAAAATAAAAGAAATACCCGTAACCCAAATGTGACGGTCGTAAAACTTATTTGATAACGGTATCTAGCTTAGATTGAATTATTGTGTTTGTCCATAGATTAGTTTAAAGTAGCGATATTATTATTAGAAATATAAAATAAAAAAACAAACATGTACATCACATAACACGTTCAAAATCCCTTATCAATTTGAAGGAGCCACGGTGGCTAAGTGGGTAAGTGGGTAAGTCGCTAGCTCGCTAGACTGGAGGTCGCGGGTTTGATCCCGGTGTTGGCCGAGAAAGTTCATCTAGATTTTTCGGCGTAGTTTTCCCTTGTCAGTGATGCAGGACTGAGGGCCCGATAAGGCCAGCTGTATAGTCGTTCGGATGGGACGATTTACCAAGGACCCGTGTAAACATTGGCGTGCACGTAAAAGATCCTTTGGCAGTTAGAATTAGATATAAGAGTAGGTCGTAGCGCCGCTGTCCGGGCAAAATTACCCTCATTAGCCCAGTCGGAGCACACCAGTAGAACGATAAACCCCATTTAATTTCATTTCCCGTTCGATAGAGTGAAATGGTTTGTATATTGTAAATTGATATTTCTAAGCCTTTATGCAATCTGTTTCACAGAAGTAATGCGAAAGCTTCTTTTAACTCATGATGACTAACCTTTATTTAATAAGGAACTAATTTTATATACCCATTTACACTTAATAGGAAATATTTGTATCCAGAAATGGTTCCAATCTTTTCTTTTTTTTTCTTAATAATTCAAAAAATTGTTTTAAGATTTAATTTGCAGAAGAAAAAAAGTTAATATTGTGAGCTAATTAACTAGCCCCGATGTTATCCCTATCCGTAATTGTAGCGGTCGAGCGTATATTCACTGCTGATCAGTTTGGTACACGAAAGTATGAAATAAATGAGCTTGCCTTATTGTTGAACGAACTGTCAGTATCTATATATCTATATTGAATTTAATGATCATTATCACCATTATGACGTCTGTTGTACACCACTGGGAGAAGTATTAATGACGTTATGGCTGAATTTGACAGAATTCTACTCATAAAACAACAAAATCACCCCCAGCAGTACTCTATGTTACATTAATCAATGTATATAACAGTATAACTGTTAGATCTAGTAAAGATATGTTGCCAGGCAACGAATCACGCGCACAAAATGTCCAATCTTTTATCTAAGATTCCCACAGTTTTAAAAACAATTTCTCAGAATCCTAACATGGAACAGCCTCTAGTTGTTCGTTTGGGACGAAAACATATTGGCGTGAGAGAGAGAGAGAGAGAGAGAGAGAGAGGGAGAGAGAGAGAGTTTAACGTACACTCGACACAAACTAGGTCATTTCGGGACTAACATATGGTTTAATTTTATTAAACCCCATTTCATTTCATTTCGTTTCATTTCAGTAAGAAATAGAGGGAATGGGATTTAACGTCCACTCGACACAAACTAGGTCATTTCGGGACTAACATATGGTTTAATTTTATTTCAATAGTTCGCTTGCGCGTAGGGGTCTTTAGCAGTGGGCGGAAACCGGAGGACCCGGAGAAAACCCACGATGATGAACAGGCGACCCTACTCCTTGCCACGTACAACCGGGGATTCGAAACAAAGCCAGTTGACTCAATGACAGGCTTTGTGACACAGCGCGCACGTCTTAACCATCCCCACCCCCCCGTGCACGTAAAAGAGCCCCTGGCAGATGGAATGCAACGAAGATTTTGGCGGAAACGCGACTGTCCGGGAAAAATTCCCATCATGCAACATCCTATCCCGGTTGTTGATTAAAGGTAGAACATTACACCCAATTTCATGGCTCAATTAAACATACATTATTCAAGAGCTAAATCTGCCTATTGCAGGTTTTTCTTTAGGTCTGAAATGTTATCCAAATGATTAATTAGACATTAATTAACTTATCCAGACCATAAACAATTCTCGATGTCATCGCTAGCCTGCAATATTTACTGGATTATATTCCTATCTGCTGCTCAACACTCATTCATCATTAAATTTTTAAAAAAATAATGGATAATCAAGACTATGCTTTTTTTAGTAATGATGATGGGGGCTAGACCTAAAATTTAATCGCTAAATTCTCGGTGCAGAGTTTATCAATTTGAGTTAAATTTTCAGCAAATTCCCTTTACATTATCTAGTTTTTAACTATTATAGGGAGAACTGTCAGCTCTTTATCTAATCTCCCATAATGTATCTTTAAGTTTACAAATAATTCAATATGTTCTAGATTCTAAATTCGTTTATTTTATTTTATATAACAAACAGAATATATAGTTATACCAAGAATTGGTTTGTGATTATTGATATAAAATGGAATGGGATTTAACGTCATACTGTTCAGTGCCATATTTTATATAAAACAGATAGGAATCAGAAAATAGAATTATTACAAGAATTGGCCTGGGACTGGACTACAATCATTCTGTATTGACAATCAAACCTTATGGTGATTTAATATTTGATGTTTTACATATAGGATGTTACTCTAGATAATTGGTAAATTAGAACCCAGTAGGGATTTTTAATAGAGTCCATAATAGAGTCCAGTGTGGTAAAGCATAATTATTGTCCATAATGGCAGATAGAGTTTAATAACTCGTCAGGAAATTACTGGGCTAATGAAGACGGGCATACAGAGACCTATGTGGAATACAGGCGCAGGGACCTATTCTTATTTCGGGTTTTTCGTCCCATGCGAATGACTAGACCACGTCGGAAAATGCCGTGGAACTTCACGAATATGTTGGAGGCATACAAGGCAAGAGACAGCTTCAAAGTCCCTGGATAGAAACTTACGTACGATAAATAATTCAACTGTCTGATATACGTTACGTAATCAGCTTACTCGAGCCAACTTTATAGATGAGTCTTGGGGAAAGTAAGGATACTCGTTTACGAATTTGGGGTCTAGCCGACCCGAGGCCTTATTCACGAAAATTAAAATGTTTTAAGGATTCGGCCATTACATTGGCTGAGAGAAAAATCATATTATAAATTTGAGCTCTCGGCCAATTAAAAGGTTGCATTCTTGAAGTAATTTAATATAAGTTCTTCTGCTAAGGACCCAGACACTTAAGTATAAAAACACCGTTGATCGTTAGGAACAGCAAAACTAGCTGACAAGCCCCGGCTATCTACCTGGCTTTAATTCTAAGTTGGTTTTAATCTTGGTCATCTAAACAGTTCAGCTAAAAAATATCGTCTTTAAAAGGAAAACGACCAAGCCCCATTTTAAAATAAAAGTAAAACATTACAAGAAATGGGTTTTAACATTGTACTGTTCTCCACCGACTGGGTCAAAGAAGACGGACATGCTGTGTGTACTTTAAGGTGCTACCAATGGTGTATAAACGGGTCATCGGGATTCCGTACCATTGTAAGAGTACACACAATTTGATGATCCACGTCCAGTATGGAACTAATCTGAGCCAGAAAAAAAAATAATAATATTAACAAATAATAATAACAACAACAACAATAATAATAATAATGTATTTATAATCTATAATCTGAACCAGAAATAATAATAATAATAATAATAATAATAATCTATTTATAAATCGCTGAATATCCAACAAACTAGTGGCTCAAGAGCGCTAATGTAAGTAAATATTCTAAGTAATATCACTTTTCACCTTGTCTTCAGCATTTCC